CACATATTCAATTTCCACATCAGCCGCCGAGGACTCAGAGCCGCGGGACCGGGTTGACTCTTTCTCTCGGTCCCCAGAACTCTCAGATGACGCCCCTCGTACCCGCTGGGGCTTCTTCTTCTTCCGGTTCCGACGCTTCCGGTTTTTCTGCCACAACAAGTAAAACCAATGGGCCAGGGAACGCAACACCAGGCCTGTCCCCACCTCTGATCCCCCGTTTCCCCAAGAGGCTGAGAACAAAGGCCCTGAGGTCAGACCCCAAAACCCCGTTTCTCTGCAGCTGTGCACTTCTGGGTGAACTGCTCTACTTCTCAGAAACTCGGTTTATCTTTAAAATGAAGGCATGCATTGTCCTCAGAACTCAAAGGACTCCCGGCAATCAAACAAAACTGTCCACATGATGCTGGGGACAGAAACGGTACCAGCAGCCACTGCTTCCTGAACACTTGGAACGGGAGCTGTTAGTGCCCAAATCCCATCTCCCGCCATTCCCTCCACCCAGCTCCGTCCCATACCTCCTTCTTGGACATGGACACTGAGTCCTCCTCGGTCTCTGACGCCGACTGGCCCAGGGATGAGCGTGTGTCTGTCTCCATTTCCTCATCCTCTGTAAGGGAGGAAGAGGCCATCGGTGTCTCTCAGGGCCGCCGCCCTGCTGTTGCTCACTGTAACCCCTCCCTCTTTACCGCCCTCCGCGGCACCCGCCCCTGCAGGCCACCGTGCGCTCACCCTGTTGAGAGTTCAGCTCTTCCTGGCGGCTCTCTTTCAGCTGCAGGATCTTCTCCAAAGCCTGGGGGATCTTGGGGCCCACCGAGGGGTCATCCATCTGTCAGAGGCACCCCAGGCAGAGGGAGGTCATCTCAGTGCCCCTTTCCCAGCCATTTCCACCTCTCCTACTAGGAAAGCTACTGGCCACGTGGCATAAACACAGGGAGCGGACACCACCAGCTGGCCTCAACCACCCGTCAGCACCCCGCAGCGCGAAGCACAGAACCCTGCCCCAGAACTGTCTTCCTGCCCTGCCTAAATGTCTGAATTACCTATGCCCCTCACCCTCACGCCCACCCCCAGAAGTCCTCCCATCTCCTCAGAATCCTTTTCTAAAAACCCAGAAGCAGTCCCCTTCTGAGCCACACTCCCCTCTCCAGGAAGTCACCATCTCACCTCTCTGTTCTCATCGCCCGGGGGCGGCGGCGGACCACGAGGCCGGGGAACCGGGGCCCCCATGGGCAAGACAGGAGCGGGGCCCACTGGAGCAGCAACTGAGAGAGAAATCCAAGCCCAGTGTGAGAAGAGATAACAACAACACAAAGAGAGAAACACTGATTTTAAAAACTACCTTCTTTGCATGCTAAAAGTTAAGAGTGATCCAATGGACACAAAACTCTGGAGAGGGTGGGTATGTATGGGAGGGGGGGGCAATGGTAAAATATGTACACAGATAATAATTTAATAAAAAATATATATATCGAAAGGAAGAAAAAAAAAGCGATGGTTACGCTGAAACCGGTTTGGCTCAGTGGATAGAGCGTTGGCCTGTGGACTAAAAGGTCAAGGGCATGTACCTTGGTTGTGGGCATGTACCCTGGTTGTAGGCACATCCCCAGGGGGGGGGGGGGGGGCAGTGTGTGCAAGAGGCAGCTGATAGATGATTCTCTCTCATCGATGTTTCTAACTCTCTACCCCTCTCTCTTCCTCTCTGTAAAAAATCAGTAAGATATATATTTTTTTAAAAGAGGGATGGTTACACTTAGGGGAGAGGGTAGCTGGAAGAGAGCCAGAGAGCTTTTTGGGGTGCTGGCAATGTTTTGGTTCTTGGCCCACGTGCTGGATGAACGGGTGTATTCAGTTTATGAAAATTCACCTTTGACACATACAGTTTTAAATGTGACATATACTTAAGTAAATAAAATTTCCATCACCTTCCTTGCCCTTTCCTTCCATTTCTGAGGTCTTACCTCGGGGGCCCAGAGGCGTGCGGACGCCCATTTGGCCCATGTCCTGTGGGGGTCGGGGCACTGGGCTGCCCATCTTGGCAATCTCCTGCTGCCGCTCTTGCTCCAGGAGCACAGCTGCCTGTGAGAAGGAAGTGGAGGCACAGCCTGAAAACCCACTGCGCAGGCAGCTCCTGGCAAATGCATTCTCTCACCAGGTAACAGGACCAAGAACAAACACGTACCACTGGAGTCCTGAAACCCCACATCCGCCCCCCGACTTCCTGGATACTGATCCATACAGAGGAGCCCTCCCCCCACAAACCAAACGGGCAACAATGCTGAGGAAAAGCCCAAATTCCTAGCAGAGAATTTACTATTTAGCTTAGACACTGACTTCTATTTTTAACAAAAGCTTTCTTCCCGAAAGATTAGTTATCTCTAAGAAACAGTGGATTCTTTTCTTATATCTAACCCTCAAGATCTAGCACAGTCTGGGCAGAGAGCACTTCATACACACTCCCATGTCTGGTGCAGGTAATGCCCATTTTCTAATACTCCGAGTAAGCCATTAGCTAACTGACACCATGCATCTGTGGGGCCAAACGCCTCATGTGCCGTTCCCTAACCTCCGTCCCCCGCACTCAGTCTGAGTCCCCTCCCTGGGGCCTAAAAGGACTGGAAGGGATCAGCCAATGTTTTCTGCAATGGGCCAGAGAGTAAATACTGGGCCAGTGTACGGACTCCTTTATATACTATTGGGTTTTCCTTTTTTACTTTTTAACAATCCTCTAAAAATATAAAAACAATTCTTAGCTTGCAGGCCATACAAAAAACAGGTTGCAGGCCACAGTTAGCAAGCCCTCAGTATAAGAAAGATGAAATTACTTGGGAGATACTGAAATTTGGTTGAGGATAAGGCGATGTTCACTTGGTGCACCTTGGACACTAAGCACTAGAAGTGAAAGCCAAAGCATTGGAACATGGGGTCAGAGGCCAAAATGAGGGGTATCACCCGCTTCTGTTGTCCCTTCAGTGAATGATCTCCCTGCTGAAGAAAGAGCACGTAACGCCTGCCTCAACTCCGCTGCCTGGGCTCCTCTTCCTGCCTAAGGCCTACGTGCCAGTCTTTGGTCCAGACCTTCCCAGGAGGCCTGGCCCCAGAATCCCTCTCTCTCTGCGGATCCGCTCTCCCTCATGACCCGGGCCGACGGCCTGCCGCCCTCCCTACCTGCTTGGCGCGCTCCTCCTGCTGCATCAACAGCGCCGCCTGCTGCTGCGCCAGCTTCAGCCGCTCCTCCTCCGACAGCGCCACAGGCTCGCCCACGCGGAGGGGCGGTGGGGGCCCCAGGTTTGGTGGGCGGGGTCCAACTGCCATAGGAAAGCCAAGGCCAAGGCCTGGTGGAGGCGGCGGAGGCGGTGGAGGAGGCTGCAGAGGGGGGAGGCCCATGGGTGGCGGTGCCATCGGGATCCCAGTGAGCTGTGGGGAAAATACACGGTCACAATCTAGGAAGCATTTATCTACTGCCTGGCAAGTGCTGGGACTCTAAGTCAAATGACATACAGTTCTAATATTCAAGGCAATGCTCTATAGCAATACTAAGAAAAGATGTTAACTTTGGGGCACCAACCAATGAAACCTATTGAATTTCTCCTCAGAAAAATATCATGAACACAGATTTATTTATTTATTTTTTATTAAATTATTATCTGTGTACATATACCATTACCCCCCCATACATCCCCTCCCTCCCCAGAGTTTTGTGTCCATTGGTTGTACTTATATGCATGTATACAAGTCCTTTGGTTGATCTCTTATCTTCCCCAGATCTCTGTAATTTGACAGTCTGCTTGTTGCTTTACTGTCTCTATATCTATCTTTTGGTTCACCAGTTTATAATGTTCTTTATTAACCATAAATGAGTGAGGTCATGTGGTGTTTCTCTTTCATTGACTGGCATATTTCACTCAGCATGATGATGAACACAGATTTTATTTTATTTTTTTTATTAAATTATCTGTGTACATATTTTACCATTGCCCCCCCCATACATACCCACCCTCCCCAGAGTTTTGTGTCCATTGGTTGTACTTATATGTCCTTCGATTGATCTCTTATCTCCCCCAGATCTCCCTCCCCTCCCCACTATAATTTGACAGTCTGCTTGTTACTTTACTGTCTCTATATCTATCTTTTGGGTGAACACAGATTTTAAAAAATAGATTTTTATTGGTCTCAGAAAGGAAGGGAGAGGGAAAGAGATAGAAACATCACTGATGAAAATCATTGACTGACTGCCTCCTGCACTATCCCTACTAGGGCTCAAGCAGCAATTGGTGTGCCCTGACCTGGAAATGAGTCCTGACCTCCTGGTTCATAGGTTGACCCTCAACCATTGAGCCACCCTAGCTTGGCAGGAACACAGATTTTGCATGCAATTTCAGGAGATTCAGGGACACCTCTAAAGTCCATCTAAGAACTCCTGACCCCACACACACAGAAATCAATGGATCCCAGGTCAGAGCCACTGCTGTAAATAAAGAGTAAAACCCTGGACCAGAAAGAACATGGAAGCCGAGAGGACTTAAATAAATGGGAGCCATGTCACCCAATGGCTCAGTTAACATAGAGGGTATGAAATCAAATCAAGGAGTGACCCCCAATGTCTCAATGAATACAGGAACTGTGCCCCAGGAGGGCAAAGAAGACAGCGATTACTTCCAACTGGGTTAGGGGGGTGAAGATAAATCACGTCAGGCTTCCAAATATTTGAGCTAAATCTTAAATGATAAGTAGAATTTGGAGGACCAGACACTGGGGAGGATGCAAGGATCAGGACCAACGACGAATTGAAGAGCTTCTAATTCTGTCATTGCAGCACCTCCCTGCCCAATCTCCTAGTTGCGTCCCCAATACACCACCTGTGAGAAGGACCTATGTAAGCAAAAGGGACCTTATAGAGTGAGCCACCATCGTACCTGCGCTGACATGGGAGGGGGAGCTGCTTTGTCCCCATCGTCACCTCTTAGAACCGGCCGATTCAGTACAATACCAGTCTGCAAAAGAGAAACTCTAGGTCAGTCCAAGAGCAGTTATTCTACTAAGGATGCTCACTCCCATCCATGCAACAGAATTTACCCAGTGCCTGTCTGCGGGAGCGCGGGCTGGGCACTGGGGAAGACCTGTAGGTGTACAGAAACGGTTACACGAGGCAGGTAAAAACAACAGGCAAAAAGGGGGGGAAGCCCCGCAAGCTGTGCGGAGGAACACAAAGAACGAAGACTGAGTGGAGAGGTCCTGCTAGGCCTCCTCCAGGAGCTGGCTATCCCGACATCCCGCCGCCAACACTTACCTGACGCGTGTAGCTCTGCAGCCGCTCCACTAGCTCCTCCCGACTCCCTGCTGTGCAAAGCAGAGAGCCATTCGGTAAGTCAAGCCGAGCCGGAGCCAGGCCCGCCGCCCAAGTCAGGCCCCAGCAGCCCGCCTCCGCCCCCCATCTCCGGGGTAACCAGGCTCCGCTGCCCCGCAGGCCTACGCGGCTGGCTCTTGATCTCCAGTTCTCCTTACCTTGGATCGGAGCTCCGATCTCTGCCAGTTTGGCCTGAAGCTCCTGGACAGCCCAGGCGCCATAGTGGCCAGGAGGTGGCGGCGGCGGCAGCTGCAACTCTCCTTTGGGAGGCTCGGGATGCTCGGCCGCCATCTTAGCAGCAGCCAGGCGCGCGACCCATACGGAAGCTCACGCCAGCTTCGGGGCCCACTTCCCGGAACTTCCGGCAGCGCGGAACGCCACGTCCCTCCCGGATTGGAAGGCTGCTCGGACAGAGGCCCGCCCCCTGTCGGACTCCCATGGTCGCAAAGCTTTCTGGGAGTTGTAGTTCGGTTCCCGGCCACTGCCCCGGGAGCACTGGGGGCTGGCGCGGGGCGGGGCTGCGGGCAGAGCGGGTCGCTCCCGGGGGGCTGGCTGTCAGCGCCTGGCTGGCCTGAGCGCAGACCACTAGCCTTCCGACTCCCTGACCTAGTGGGAGAGGCCCTCACGTTCCCTGGGAGCTCCGAGACTGATTCCCCAGCCGCCGCGCGTGGCGGGCGCCAAGAGCAGAAGGTTGCAGCCGATGCCTGTGATAAAACCGCGTCTGGTTGTCTGCCCGCCCGCCCCGGCCCAGGTGTGGGTGAATGCGCTGAAAGGGGATCGGATCGGAGCCGGCAGAGGAGCGGCCCGCCCGGGCTGAGCTCCAGCTGCGGGCCCGGGGGAAGGGCCACACGTCAAGCCCCTTTCTCCATCTCCCAGGCCGGCTCCAAGGTCGCCTCCGCTAAGCCCGCTCCCGTTTTCCTTTGCTTCCTTGGAGCTCTCATAATACATACAAACCTCCCGCCGTTGGTTTTGAAGTCTTTCTTGCCCCTTCTACCCACCTCCATCCCCGAGATCGTGAGCAGGGACCTGGCGTTCGGTCAATGATAACTGGGGAGGGGGAGGGCAAGTGGAACAGTCTTTCCGGGGACATTATTTTCGTCTTCTTTAGTCTCCAAAATAAACTCAGGATCTTTTCTTCCCTCATCCCCACCAGCCTCCTGGAGGACGGACCCTGCCCTGACTCCCCCACACACACACACAACCCCCACTGCTGGCCTGTGCACCTGAGGGAGAAATGGGCAGGTGCCCCTTACCTGTCCAGCTGCCACCTCTCCCCACCTCTCCCGCTAACTGAGGTCCCTCTGCCATTCTAGCTCTGCACGGACAGGCTCATTGCACCCGTGTGAGGGAGCGTGTGAGTGTGAGTGTGTGTGTGTGTGTGTGTGTGTGTGTGTGTGTGTGTGTGTAGAGCCAGGAAACTCAAGTGAAATAGTCTAATTTCCCCCACACCCTTCATATCTCTAATATGCTCCAATTCACTGGCTGCCTCCAACAAAGAAATAAATAGCTGGGAGCAGTGAAAAAAATAAGGTGTCAGGTCCAGGGGAGGTGTGAGGTCTGTAACAGACAAAGAAGAGGCCTGGACCAGGAAAAGCGGCTAGCCAGGAAATTCTCTTTGCTCCTGTCCAAACCCTGACCCTTCCCACTTCTATCGCCACCACCACCCAGTCTCCTGCCTCCCAGAGGAGAAGCCAAACCCAGAAAGGACAGAAGAAAGAACAGTTCTGCCCTCCCCTGCAGCGTGTCAGCCCTCTCAAGCAGAACCATTCCTGACACAAAGGAAGTGTCGTTCTGCTCCTGTAACTGGAGAGCCAACGGCAGGTCACCTGAGGCTGCAGGCCCCAAAGCGTGTGCATGTGCTGGGGGAGAGGCTGGAGGTCTCAGGCAGGATAAACCAGGGGCTGATGGGCAAGGAGGTGGTGTGGCTTAGCCAGAAAGCAACCACCCTAGTGGGACCCCATTTTATCCCAACATCCCTGGGACCCAGGCAGGGGAGTCCCCCATTGTTCAGAGGGGAAGACTGAGGAGCCAGTCCGGGACAAGCAGTTCTCCTGCCCCTGAGTGTCCCCATTCCTTCTCCTCCTCAGTAAGGACCCTCACACAGCACCTACCGGTGTGGGTGTGGAATGGAGTCTAGTGCCTTCCAGTGCCAGCTTTGGGTGGCTGCCTTGGCCCTGGGACCCTTGCCATGCCAGGCCAAGAGGGTGGCAGGGCTCCGGGACTCTGAGAGCCAGAGAACTGTGTGTCCGGGAGGCGCTCCTGCCTCGCTCCTGGAACCGGCGATTCAAGATGATCTGCCCCCCCCCCCCCCCAGCTCAAAAGTATCATCTTCACGTGTATCGTCTCTGCGGTTCAGAACACCTCCCCTCCGCTAAGGCTCTGGTCAGGAGGGAGGGGGTCTGGGGTCCTGGTGGAGGGTGCGAGTGGGTCAGCAGCAGGGGCTGCCCCAGGGGCTGCAGGGGAGGGTTCCCCCAGAGATGAGGGCAGAGGGGGCCAGACTCAGGGCTACAATGATGCTTCCTGTCTGGAGGTGGAAAGAGGAGGAGAGGAGGGAGGGAGCGTGTGGGCGCTGTGATGTACTGTACCTGTGCTCCAGCCCCCCACCCCCACCCCCCGCCCTCGCAGGACGCACCAGCCCAAGGCTGACCAGTGGGACCCAGGGGTGTCCAGCAATGCCACAGCACCCCAATACTCTCCGGACCTAAACGCCCCCTTCTGAGGAGGGAGGCAAGGAGCTGCCACACTGGTGTCCGGACTCAGCAAGGTTGCCGGGGAAAGATGCCCGCATCAGAAGATGCCACCCGGAAAATGCTCCTGGTTAGGCAGCCTCCGAGCCAGGGCTGCCCCCTCCTCCCCTGACTCCCCTTCCCCTCCTCCTCCCTCCGCCGCGGCCCCCGCCCCCGCCCCGCCTCCAGGGTGCGATGGGGGGCGGGCGGCGGGCAGAGCCTGAGCTGAGCCGCTCGGCGGACGCCGCCACCTGATCCCATCCCGGCGCGGGAGGCGAGCGGCGCTCGGTGCGCAGGGCCCGGCGCGGACCGCAGCGGATCCAGGAAAGGGGCTGGAGGGAGCGGCGACCCCCGCCACCGGGACGGAGGCAGAGCCCGCGCGTGAGTACTGCGGTAGCCAGCCGGGCTGGAGGAGGGTGGACCAGCCGGGACCGGGGCGAGGGATGGGCGGGAGCGTGTCCTGGGGGCGCAGAGGCCGGAGAGCGTGCGGGGGGGGCGCAGGGTCTGGGGGGCGGGAGGACTGGGTGAGGGGGCCACTCTGGCCTGTCCCCCAAGGCGAGCAGATCCCTGACAGATCCCTGATGGAACTGAAGGAATGGAGGCAGGGGGAGGCAGAGAGTGATGGAGAGAGCAGGGGAGAGGAATTCGGATACAGGGATGACGTTGGGGACGGGGAAGGGGGTTGGAGGGACCCGGTGCAGGCGGAGGAGAAAGGGAGGAAAGGAGGGAGGCGGGAGGATATTTGATCTCCTGGGACACTCATTGGCGCCTCCTTAGCCTTTGACCCTTCCATCCGGAGGGAGAAATGTTCACTGGCTGTGCCATCCTCTCTGAGGATGGAGCCTCCAGGTGAGCCGGAGGTCAGGCTGTCAGGCTGTCAGGCTGTCAGGTCGGGTGGTCCAGGCCAGCCAGCCGCCCTCCTACTCTGAGGCACCCGTCAGCCCTTCCGCTTGGAGGGGAGAGAGGGCTCACTCCGGAGCGGGTGGGCACCCAGGCCAGTTTGCCGAGCTCTGGCTGGCTGTTCCATTTCTCCCTTGGTTCCCTGGAGAAGGGAAGGCAATTTGCAAAAGCGGGCACAGCCTGAGGGAGGTTGTCCTGACTAAAATTAGCGCTGATACTCCGGTGAGGCTGGGCACACTGGCCTGGCTGGGTGGCTGAGGGACACTCCGTGAAGAAGACACAGGGGGAGCCAGGCAGTGTTTGAAGCCTGACGGCCCTGGCCCCGGCAGACCTACCCACGCCAGCTGGAGACCACGAGCAGACAGCCCCCGTGTCAGGACCCCGCTCCATCCCCAGGAGAGGCACCGAGGTCTGAGCCTGCCGCAGAGGGGGCTGCCTCCAGTGGCCCGGCAGCACTCGGTCCTGGAATGTGGATGCTGGCTGGGTGCCCACCCAAAGGAGACGGGGTGCTGATTCCAAACACCTGAAGGTCCGTCATGGAGAAAACGGTCCGTGTGGTGAGGAGGGCAGCAGCCACATGCAGAGCGGAAGGTGGAAGGGGCCTGGCCGAGGAGCCTAGCCATCCCAGAAAGAACCGGAATGGCCAGTGCTGCTCGGACCTGGGCCAGGCGTATCTGAGGGGATGAGCACTGTCACGGATGGTGACGACGCAGAAACCGGTGCCCAGGGAGTTCTTGTGGGCCTCACCCCGGGTCCGGCTGGCTGGCTCCTCAGGGCTGAGGGGAGTGGCATGGAGGGGCCACACCCAGCCCATCGCCCTTCTCTGTGCGACCTGGCTGAAGCATCTCCCAGAGAAAATCCCACTAGAGCCCCCTGCAGGCTCGACATCGTTGGCTAACCCAGAATCCTCTGAAAAACAGGGTGGTTTCAGGGAGTTTAGCAAAGATGGGACTAGGCTGGGCCCTCACGTTGCCCCTTCGGGGAACTCCTGTCTGGCCACTAAGTCTTGTAGGCAGGAAAAATGGCGAAAGGGAAGGGGCCTCCATCCTGAGAGGGCCACCGGCTCTGACTTCCTCCTGAAGGCTGCCCAGCCAGACAGAGTGGGGATGGGGGTGGTGTGAACCTTCTCCTTGGTTGTCCTCGGTGGCTGGACCCTTCCCCGCCCTTGGTTCCAGGTGGATTAAGTCTGTCTGCAGGCTGATGGAGGGAACACGGTGCTGGGGCCTGGAAGGAGGGAAAGGGATAACCAGGCATCTTCCCACCCCATCAGGCTGCAGGGTGATCCAGGATTAACTGGGGGCGGGGGGAGTGGAAGCCAAGCCCGGGGCCCAGGAAAGGTGATGGTCAGAGGAGTTTTCACATTGCCTCACCCCTCCTGGGACTCGGGTGTCCTAGTTCCACATGCACATGCCCGTGAGGTCCCGGCTCCCCCTCCCTTTCGGAGAGGGGGTACATGAGGCTGAAGCTGAACCAGAAGCTGGGAGTCTGAGGCCGCTGGGGCAGAAACTCGCCCCAGCGGACAGGCACTGCTGCCAAAGCCGACTGTCCACTAGAGCTGCCGAGGGCTGTGCTGCCCTTGAGCCAAAGCATCCGGTGTGGGGACAAGGGGCTGGCCAGAACCCAGGCTCTTCTGCCTCTCACCTGTCACTCGCCTTGTCCAGGAGTTCCTCAGCAGGAGCCCCTTCGCACCCCACACCCTGCCCCGCGCCCAAGCTGCCATCCACTGCCTCACTGCAGAGTAAGCAGACGGCATGGCCAGGGTTCAGGTGTTTGGGGATGGAATCCAGATAGGGTTCCAGGATTTCAAGTCCTTCCTTTCTCTCCCTCATGGATTTATTGGTCTTGAACCCTCAGAGCGGGAGCCCAGGTAGGAGGGCTCAGGGCTCAGAAGCGGGCAGAGGCGCCAGAGTTCAGGGAAGGCTGGGGAAACCAGCTCTTTGTGGAAGCAGCACACCTGTCTAAGGGGATGGACTCTGGAGCCAGAAAGAGCAGGTCTGATCCCGGATTCTGCTAATTCCAGCTCTGTGACCCAGACAAGGGGCTTCATTTTTAGAGCCTCAGTTTCCTTGTCTGTAAAGAGGTAATAATATCTGTTAGGGTTGAGGTGATTAAACGAGATAAAGTATGCAGTAGCATAGTACAAATAGTGAGTCCCTGCATCAGAGACTTGAGAAGGTGAAGGCTTGGCCAGTGTTTCTGAGGAGCTCAGTTTCTGGGGGGTCAGGACCAGCCCTTCACCGGAGCCATCAGGTAAGGAGGGGAAACCTGGAGCTGAGACTCCTGTGATCGGAGCCAAGTCTACTGGGGAGACAGCTACGAATGGCCACGAGACAAAGAGGAATCGGGGGCACAGAGAGAAGCAGAGACAGGGCTTAAGGGAGTGGCTATAGCCTGAAGGCTGGCCACACCCCAGAGCCTGTAATTCCACCCAAGACCCAGCTATCTGGAGCGGAGTGGAGATAGGGTCTTGGTGACGGGAGGCCGGAATCTGATCTTCCCTGGCCTCTCTGCTCACCCCACTCTTGGGAGCTCTCCTTTGCAGCAGTGTGCCGGGGCGAGAGCCCATCTCCTCTGCCCATACAAACCTGTTTGCCTCCTTCCCCTGCCAGGCCTCTCCGGAACACTGGCCCTGCTACCGGAGCCTCAGGAGCCCCCATGAGGGCCGGCAGTGGGTGTCCTGGATAGCGAGACCTGGCTGGTCCAGGGCGGGCACGCTGTCATGCCCATCCTCCCGCGCCTGCAGCAGGCCACCAAGATGATGAGCCGCAGGAAAATCCTGCTGCTGGTGCTGGGGTGCAGCACCGTGAGCCTCCTCATCCACCAGGGTGCACAACTCAGCTGGTAAGGAGCAGGGGCCCGGGTGAGGGGCGGGGCCCAGGGCCGTTGTGGTATCCGGGAGGGCCAGCTGCCTGGTTAACGCCACGACTGAGAGCCCTGCTTCCATTCCTTGCACCGGCCAGCAGAGTCGGCCTTCTGCTGGGCTTCGTTCCTTCGCTCTCTCCTGAAGTGCTTTCCACACATCTCTTTATTTTTTACTATTTTTAAAAATAGATTGATATTGATTTCAGAGAGAGACAGAAACATCAATGATGGGAGAGAATCATTGATTGGCTGCCTCCCACATGCCACACACTGGGGATCAAGGCCACTCCTGGGCATGTGCCCTGATCGGGAATCAAACCATAACCTCCTGTCCTGGTTCATCGGTGGCTCAGTGAGCCACGCTGGGCAGGCACCACGCATCTCTTTAGATCCACACAACCCCCCAAGGCATGGATTGATCTTATTAAAATGAGAGTGACGTGCTCGAAGTCATAGAGTGAGTCTGTGACTAAACGGGGACTTGAATCCAGCCCAAACCCAGTGCCTCCCCCAAGGACTGCAAACAACTCCTCACTACTCCTGTTGTGCTGGGCAAGTCCTCTCCCTCTCTGAGCCCGTGTCCTCATCTGTAAAATAGAAATGATGGTATGTGTGACCTCGCTAGTCCCCCTGACACCGGATACCATGTGACTAATAGGAGCAGACCCTACTCCTGGCTCACGTGTGAGCCCAACGTGTGAATGCCTGCACCCCTCAGAGCCTCTACTTTCCCAGGAGAATGATGTGAGTGGGCCCGATCCCCACTAATTTGCTGGTCTTTAAAAGGGCGTCTGTGTGGCCATTATCCTGAACCCAAATCAGCCACAGATGGGAAATCTCCGTGGTGTTCTCAAAGCTGCTTAGCGTTTCCTCATTATGACCAGGGTGGTAGAAAAGGAACAGGAGAGGGACTCAAAGTCTGAATAGATCTTACAGGTTTACCTGTAATCCCAAACATCCTTTCAGGATTGAGGAAAGAAATGAAAGCTTCATGAAGGCTAGGATTGTTAGCTGTTTTCTATACTATCATATTTCTTGAGCCTAGAACAGTGGCTGGCACATAGGAGATGATTAAAAATATATATATATTGGCTGAATGAATGAATAAAGCTCCAGAGGTCTGAACAGAATCGGATGACAAATGAGTTGCCTCCAAGCCCTTGCCACTCGTCCACAAGGCGAGGAGCCAGTGAAAAAGTAAAAGTGGCCGAAACCGGTTTGGCTCAGCGGTAGAGCGTTGGTCTGCGGACTGAAAGGTCCCGGGTTCGATTCCGGTCAAGGGCATGTACATTGGCTGCGGGCACATCCCCAGTAGGGGATGTGCAGGAGGCGGCTGGTCAATGTTTCTCTCTCATTGACGTTTCTGGCTCTGTGTCTCTGTCCCTTCCTCTCTGTAAAAAATCAATAAAATATATTAAAAAAAAAAAAAAAAGTAAAAGTGAAAAACAAGAGAAAGCAAAAGGACTTGGTGACCTCATCTGGGTTGCCAGACTTACGTAAATGACTCTTTTCTTCTGAGCCTGTTTCTTCCTTTTTAGAGTGGAATCTCTCTAAAAGATCTCTCTCAAGGATCTCCCAAGGCCTTTCTCCCTGTATTTAGTTATCTATTTCTGTGTAACCGAAGTACCTCAAAACTTAGCAGCTGAGCACATCGAACATTTATTATCTCACTTGTGTGGGTCAGGGACCCAGGTGGGGCTTAGCTGGGTGCCTCTGCTCAAGGCCTCTCAAGGGGCTGCGGTCTCATCTGAAGGTCTGATTGGACGGGCTCCCCTTCCAAGCTCGCTCGTTGTGGTCGTTGGCAGACTTCCGTTCCTCAAGCAGGGTGATGGACTGAAGGCCCAGCTCCTTGGTGACTGTTGCCACGGGATGGCTCCCCATAGGATGGCTCACAGGATGGCAGCTTGCTCACCACGCTACCTGAGTTGTCCTAGATAAGACACGGAGATAGAAGCCATAGTCTCTTTATAGCGCAATCTCACGAGTGGCACCCATCATCTCTGCCCTATTCTAGTCCTTAGAGACATCAATGAGCCCCGCCCATACTCAAGGGGAAGGAAATAGACAACAGCACGAATACCAGGAGGCCAGCAGGGATCACGTGGGTCATCTCAGAGGCTGCCTGCCATACCCCTCCACTGCTCTGTGGGCAAAGCCCAGCACGGGCTGCTCCGTAGCCCGCCCCCCAACCCCCGGGCAGGGGCGGGGCTCACACCCTCTCAACCCTCCTCCCCGCAGGTACCCCAGGCTGTTCCCCCTGAGCTGCCCGCCCCTGCAGGACTCGCCGCCGCGCCCCAAGCACCTGACGGTGGCCTTCCTGAAGACGCACAAGACGGCGGGCACGACGGTGCAGAACATCCTGTTCCGCTTCGCCGAGCGCCACAACCTGACGGTGGCGCTGCCGCACCCGCGCTGCGAGCACCAGTTCTGCTACCCGCGCAACTTCTCGGCGCGCTTCGTGCACCCGGCCACGCGGCCGCCGCACGTGCTGGCCAGCCACCTGCGCTTCGACCGCGCCGAGCTCGAGGGCCTCATGCCGCCGGGCACCGTGTACGTCACCATCCTGCGCGAGCCCGCCGCCATGTTCGAGTCCCTCTTCACCTACTACAACCAGTACTGCCCGGCCTTCCGGCGCGTGCCCAACGCGTCGCTCGAGGCCTTCCTGCGCGCGCCCGAGGCCTACTACCGCGCGGGCGAGCACTTCGCCATGTTCGCGCACAACACGCTGGCCTACGACCTGGGCGGCGACCCCGAGCGCAGCCCGCGCGCCGACCCCGCCTACCTGGCGGGCCTCATCCGCCGCGTGGAGGAGGTCTTCTCGCTCGTCATGATCGCCGAGTACTTCGACGAGTCGCTCGTGCTGCTGCGGCGCCTGCTGGCCTGGGACCTGGACGACGTGCTCTACGCCAAGCTCAACGCGCGCGCCGCGGGCTCGCGCCTGGCCGCCGTGCCCGAGGCGCTGGCGCGGGCGGCGCGCGCCTGGAACGCGCTGGACGCCGCGCTGTACGCGCACTTCAACGCGTCCTTCTGGCGCCGCGTGGCGCGCGCCGGCCGCGCGTGCGTGGAGCGCGAGGCGCGCGAGCTGCGCGCGGCCCGCGAGCGCCTGCTGCGCCGCTGCTTCGGCGACGAGCCCGCGCTGCGGCCGGCCGCGCAGATCCGCACCAAGCAGCTGCAGCCCTGGCAGCCCAGCCGCAACGTGGACATCATGGGCTACGACCTGCCCGGCGGCAGCGGCGCCAGCCCGGCCAGCGAGGCCTGCCTCAAGCTGGCCATGCCCGAGGTGCAGTACTCCAGCTACCTGCTGCGCAAGCAGAAGCGCCGGCTGGCGGCGCGGCCCCGGCCCCAGCCCGTCCTGGACAACCCGCCGCCGCCGCCGCCGCCGCGGCCCATCCGGGCGCTGCCCCGCGGCCCGCAAGGCCCCTGAGCTCCGGGAGCCAGGCTGGGGGCTGCCTCCAGGCCCTGCCCATCAGGACCCACTTCCGAGGGGCCTAAGCCCCACGTTGTAAGGGGAAAGGGGGAGAAGGGGTGCCTCACCCTATCCAGGAGGAGCCGAGAGCCCGGGGCGTACCCTCCTCCTTCCCAGCTCGAAGTCTGGGGCTGCCCAGTACTGCCCGATCCTTTCTGGGGCTGAGCCGCCCTCCACCCGTTTCCAGAGCCCGTGGGCCCGGCTGCAGAGCAGCTCCGCCCGCTGCCGGCCCCGGAGCCCTCGCCTTTCCTCTCAGGGGTCAGAGGCCCCCCGCCATCTGTCTCCCAGGTTCCACGCTCACCTAAGCTGCTCCCAGTCTCCCAGAACCAAGAGTTCTTGGGTTGGGCTTTTTGTTTTGTTTCTTTTTTTTAATAAAAAATATCTCTCAAATGCGCAGGTTAGTGGCAGTCACCGAAAGCCAGCTTTCCCGCGTCGGGTGAGGCAGGTGCCCAGGAATAGCTGTGCCAGCCTCAGTCCGCCCCCTGATGGGCGCGGCCACCTCAGCCCCGCTCATTTCCTTTGGGAAAATGTAAATCACTTTCATTCAATTCAGCAGCAGTTATAGCGTCATCTCTGACAGGGACATGACGTCTCTGACGGGCGCAGGTGAGGCAGCCAGAGCCTGTCTCCTCTGTGGAGCTCAGGGGCGGACGTTGGAACGGGAGCAGACAAGGGAGAAGGGGCAATGGTAAAATATGTACACAGATAATAATTTAATAATAAAATAAAATAATAATAATAAATGAAAAGAAAAAAGAAACGGGAGCAGACAGCTGAGGAAGAGGAAGGACTCGGGGTTAGAACCAAACCGCTCCTCCAGCAGAGGGAGGCCAGAGGGAGGATCAGTCCAGGCAGGGAGGTGCCGACCTCAGGACTTCACCTCCTCTTGAGTCACTGGCTTTCCCACTGGCCTGCCTTCCCGCAAGGAGAAGACGGTCCTGAGGTGAACGAGGACCATTCCCGGCCCCGAGCATCCTTTCGTGCAGCCCGGCGCTCAGCGCCTTCAAATGAAGCCTCGCTTAAAACTAGCAGAGTCAGGACTCTTTCTGTGACTTTCTTTTCTATCCAATACTTTACAGGGTACAGCGACATTGACGTATCGGCAAGTGAGCATGGCTCACGTGGTGTGCTGGGTGCCAGCCACTGTTCGGGAGATTTATACATGAGATAGGTACCCTGTCATGGGTGAGGGAACTGAGACTTGGAACGGTTATGTGACACTCAGGGTCACACTCAGGGATAGAGTGTCAGCCTGTGGAGCGAAGGGTCCCGGGTTTGATTCCGGTCAAGGCACGGACCTCAGTTTCAGGCTCCTCCCCAGCCGGGCCCTGGTCAGGGCTCCTGCAGGAGGCAGCCAATCGATGTGCTTCTCTCACATCACTATTTCTCTGTCTCTCCCTCTCTCTCTAAACATCAATGTAAAAATATCCTCCAGTGAGGATTTAAAAAGAAGAAGAAAGAATAAGTGTCCTAAGTGCTATCACAGGGCCATTCAAATAAAGAAGTTCAGGTGCCCCATGCCAGGCTGACACCCAGGGCCTTCCCCACAAAGAATGTCAAGTAAAGAAAGCAAAAAAAGAAAAAGAAAAAAAGAAAGCAAGACATTGCTAGCAGCTTCTCTTTATTCTTCAAGAAGACCATCAGCACTGAAACCGGTATGGCTCAGTGGATAGAGCGTCGGCTTGCGGACTGAAGGGTCCCAGGTTCGATTCCGGTCAAGGGCATGTACCTTGGTTGCGGGCACATCCCCAGTAGGGGAGGTGCAGGAGGCAGCTGATTGATGACTCTCTCATCGATGTCCCTAACTTTTTATCTCTTTCCCTTCCTCTCTGTAAAAAAACAATTAAATATATTTTTTTAAAAAGAAGAAGACCATCGGCAGCCTGTTTGGGTCACGGAGACTGCAAGGGTTGCCTGTCAGGTTGTATGACACGCAGTAGACTTGAAAGGGGGCTGTTTTGATAGCACCCTGCTTTTTAGCAGTGGAGTTCTGGAAAGGCAACCCTTATAGACATGCAGATGCATAATTAGACTTCCGGCATTAAACACAGTCGAGAATTGTACTAGACTCAGCAAGACAGGCACGGTCTGGTCCCCAGGCCAACAGGGTGTCTCCGGCCTCTGGCCGCAGGTTTGCCAGGAACATCCTCTCTTGCTCTGGGTGCCTTTCAGATCTGCCTTCACAGGCCTCTCCTGCTTCCCTGGCCCTCAGGCCCGGGGGCTCCTTTATAAACCTGCCCGTTGAGCAGAGCCTGACGCTGGGCTCAGAGAAATCTGGATCCGGCACTGACGGGAAACATCAGGCCTGGGAGGCGGTTTCTCTCTCTCTCTCTCTCTTTTTTTTTAATAATATATATTTTATTGATTTTCCACAAGAGAAAGGAAGAGGGATAGAGAGCTAGAAATGTTGATGAGAGAGAAACATTGACCAACTGCCTCCTGCACACCCCCTACTGGGGATGTGCCCGCAACCCAGGTACATGCCCCTGACCAGAATCGATCCTGAGACCCTTCAGTCCGCAGACCGACGCTCTATCCACTGAGCCACACCGGTTTCGGCTCTCTTTTGACGTAGGAGCGAGGGCAGACCCTACGTCAGCACCGAGTTGGATGTTAGCCTCAGGGGCTGAGCAAGGGGCCTCTGGGACACCTTGGTCCAAACGTCTCCAGCTTCAGCCACATCCTGGGGGGACAGGCAGTAGCCCCTGGGACCCCCGTGCTCTGCAAACAGGCTCCTTCCGACAGCGCACGTGACGCTGCCCACTCTGCCGCCCGGCAGGTCTCCGGGGCTTTGGCAGCAGCTGAGACGCGGTCCCCGCCTGGAGGAGCTCACACCAGCACCCCAGGCAGATGTGTGCGTGGCAGCCGGGGTGAGGGCTTGGTGGAGGCCATTACCTCCCTGGGTGCTTGGGAGTTCAAACTCTGGCTCTGCCACTTACAGGTCACATGACTCCGGTTGTAGTCCCGGAGCCTCGCTTTGCTCGCCTTTGAGACGAACCGTTTCCTGGTGGGGGTGAACGGCACTTGACACGAGGCGCCCAGCGCGGCACCCAGCTCAGCGCCTGGCACAGGGAAATGTTCCCACAGCTCTGGTGCTGCCCGGGCTCCTCCAGGACGACACCCTTCACGGCAGACGCTACTGGCTGGCAGTCCATTCTGAAGGCCTCCCAGCAGGCGGCAGAGAGCATTCTGAAGTAAGGGAGCCTTTTCTTACTTTGCCCAAAGGCATGGTACGGCCAGCAGCAGTCTGGGTGGTGGTGGTTATGGAAGGATGTGCAGGGTGAGGGGGGAGCAGAGAGGAGGGTGGGGGCGTCTGAAGAGGCTCCCGGAGGAAGGCTGTCCCAGCTGAGGACAGGGAGGGGAGGGTACACCAGGCAGAAGCACTGACATCAGGTTGTGACCGGCCTAGGAGGTCATGCTTAGAAGTTCAGGTGGTTGGGCCTGGGACGCGGAGAAAAGGGAATGGCCAGAGATGACCAGCAGGGAGAGCCTGCTGTCCCCGGGGCAGAGGGGTCACCAGCAGCCCATGTAGCCCATCCCGGACCCAGCACCCCCGAGGGACGGACCTGTGTTGGAAATGATGGGAAGTCCCCGAGTTGGCGGGAGAAAGGCCTTTTTTAAAAAAAAATTATTTTTATTGATTTCAGAGAGGAAGGGAGAGGGAGAGACAGAAACATCAATGATGAGAGAGAATCACTGATCAGCTGCCTCCTGCACGCCCCCTCCACTGGGGATCGAGTCTGCAACCCAGGCATGTACCCCCGGCCAGAATCGAACCTGGGACCCTCCAGTCTGCAGGCCAACGCTCTATCCACTGAGCCAAACCGGCCAGGGCGAGAAAGGCCTTTCATCCAGCGCTGATGCTGCCGGGAGAAGCCATGGCAACAAGAGCGGTGGCACTAGCTGATGTGTGCTGAGCACTGCTCTGTGCAAGGTGCTTTGCTATGTGCTTCACGTGTTTTAATTTACTCGACTCTTACCACTGGTGAGATAAGTGTTATTCTTGTACCTCTTTCACAAAGGGGAAACTGGGGTACAGAAAAGGTGCCGTGCCCAGGCTCACCCAATGGGAGAAGCTGAGCTGGCACAGAGGCAGGGTGCCAGGCTCGCAAGTGCTCCCTGTGGAGTCCATTGTCTCACCCGCTCATGCACACCCAGCAGTCCCTGCGGGCTCGTTGTTAACGAGCCTTCTGGATAAGCCCCCTGGGCCTGAGTGGGAGGGAGGAAGGCCGGGCACAGAGAGAGGAAGGTGGCAATCTGCCAACACAGTTGGGCAGCTTCCCGGGAGGTGCTAGTGGAGTGGCAAGGGGCCTGGAGAGCAAGAGAACGGAGGACCGGGGACTGGCCACCCGGAGGGTACGGAGGGGAAAGCATGCGATGGGGGAGGTGACGTGCAGCCCCCCTCTCAGTCACAGGCCTGAGATTGGCTCCTGAGGACCAGAGGATCACAGGAGACCGGGGACCCCCAGCCTGCCGTCTCCTTGCCAAGGGTTCCCGGCACATTCCAGTGGGCAAAGGCCAGGCCAGGAACAGCCTCCTCCACCCCCACCCCAGTTTCACGGGATTTTCACAACGCCGGCCGGCACTGGAGTCATTACAAATGGGGGACTGAGGGCAGAGAGGGGCTGTGGCTTCCAGGGGCGGCCTGGAGCCAGGCCAGAGCCAGGAGTGAGGACACACCCATAAACTGGAGCCAGAGAGGCAAGGTCCCAGGTCCTCTTTCCCACCTGTGTCCCCGCTCTCAGTTCGGTACTGGCACCCCCATTCAAGCCCATCCTCTCCGAGCGCAGAGTGAGTGTGCTCAAAACCACTGATCCCATCTCTCCCTTGTTGAAACACCGCCCTCCTTCACCAGCTCACCAGGCCCATCCTAGCCTGACCCCCCCCCAAAAAAAAATAACCTTTCAGCTACACCTCCATTGTCCCCCAGCCATACCGGGGTGCCCACCATTCTCTGGAAAGCTGAATTTCATCAGCCAGTGGTTGGACACAATGAAATCTCATAAAAAATTAAATGAAAGGTTATATAAAGTATATAAACTGACCATTAAACCAATTATATCAACAACAAAGGTA